AAAGATGGGGGGGGGGGGGGGGTAAATCCACACTTCCCACACTTAAACATGTTAGTATATAAAGTATATTACTATTAACAATATTATTTAAAAACCATAAACTAGCTTACAGCATAGCACAAGAAATAGCATTTGAGCATTATGCATATTTTTCAAGATAAATAATTGTAATGAGTAAAGACTTGTACAATGCTTCTTACATAATTCTTATATAATTGTATGTCTTGTGTTTCTATGAAGTTTGTTTAGAATGTTATTGTCAAGAAGAGAATATGAAATACCAGAGACAAATCAAACAAATTAGAGATGCCGAAAACTCACTCTCATAAATTCTCAGTCTGTATCACTAGTCTGTGAGTCTTCATGCTGATCAATTACTTTCATATTCTTCAGTTTCTAAGCAACGTTCCATAACAAACACACAAAACCAAGAGGAGAGTGCACTCACTGAGATGTGGTGGGGGGTCTGTGGAGCATGTCATGGGGGAATAGTAAAAAACATGGTTATACCTTTTGTTTGATATTAGCCAGATCTCATCCGATGGGGGTTCTATGTCCATTTTTGGAGTCAGACACACACAGTGCTACTTCTCTTCTTGCACTCTGATGTCAGGGGTGACAATTAGTTGAGAGTGCAGAGTTGTGTGTTTACATGATCAACTTGGGCAACTGAGAAAACACAGTGTGATAAAATATATTCTTTTTTAAACTTTAGGATTCAATACAAATTATAGCTTATTTTTAATCTTCAGCATGGCAAAATACTTCTAAAATGTAGAGCTTCATCCATAAACACGTGTCCAGGTATTAGAGACAGAAGTTGGATTTTGTTGTCAAAATGTACATTTTAAAGAGACTCTGGAATACTTGATTTTGATTGGTCACTTGCTGCATTTTTCTATTTTTTCCCCCTTCACGGCATTCAGTGGTATTTGCCATTGTACATCGATGCGGGGGTTATGTCCATTTTTGGAGTCAGACACACACAGTGCTACTTCTCTTCTTGCACTCTGATGTCAGGGGTGACAATTAGTTGAGAGTGCAGAGTTGTGTGTTTACATGATCAACTTGGGCAACTGAGAAAACAGTGTGATAAAATATATTCTTTTTTAAACTTTAGGATTCAATACAAATTATAGCTTATTTTTAATCTTCAGCATGGCAAAATACTTCTAAAATGTAGAGCTTCATCCATAAACACGTGTCCAGGTATTAGAGACAGAAGTTGGATTTTGTTGTCAAAATGTACATTTTAAAGAGACTCTGGAATACTTGATTTTGATTGGTCACTTGCTGCATTTTTCTATTTTTTCCCCCTTTACGGCATTCAGTGGTATTTGCCATTGTACATAAAATAAACTTTAATAATAAATTAAACTTTTTGTGTCACCCGTAAAAAGCTTCGCTTGCGAGCTTTGTTGTTTCATACAAATGCAACTGCCGCCATGTCTTATCGACCGTTGTGAAAATGACCTCGCGGCACTTGCTGTAATATCGTTGCAAACCGCGGAGTTCGGTTTGTTGCTATAGGCTATTTTAGTACATTCTGCTATTTTCACTTAGCGGACACTTTAAGATCATTTACAGGTAAGATGAAATATTTTAAACTCAAATCAATATTTAATGTCTACATATTTATATACACGGCATTCAGTGGTATTTGCCATTGTACATGAAAAATATACTTTAATAATAAATTAAACTTTTTGTGTCACTCGTAAAAAGCTTCGCTTGCGAGCTTTGTTGTTTCATACAAATGCAACTGCCGCCATGTCTTATCGACCGTTGTGAAAATGACCTCGCGGCACTTGCTGTAATATCGTTGCAAACCGCGGAGTTCGGTTTGTTGCTATAGGCTATTTTAGTACATTCTGCTATTTACACTTTAAGATCATTTACAGGTAAGATGAAATATTTTAAACTCAAATCAATATTTAATGTCTACATATTTATATATTTGTTGAGTAGCCCTGTAATGAGTGGGATAATGTAACGTGGTGAACGTATGTGTTTGTACAATGTGGAGTACAATGAACGAATGTGGAGTACAATGTTCCTGGATCAACATCCATGTTGATCCTGGAACAATATTCCAATCAACCAATTGAGGGATAAGTTAACAGGAAATGTCCTTTTTAGACTTACAACCAGAGTTGGGTGCTTCTACACCCTTGTTATTCAACTATCATTTTAGGGATAAATTATTGGTAGGGTTAGGTTTAGGGGTGGGGATAGGGTTAGGTCTATATTTTTGGACAATAATGTTGATCCAGGATCAACAAAAGATGTTAATCCAAGAACATGTCTTACTTGGCAAAATCACAGTGACCAACGTAACGTAACGTTACAGTCAATGGGTCCACAAAAGGTACTTAAAGATTAAAAGTGATTTACAGTGAAATTCAATTCATTCAATTTACAATAACAGCACAATTCAATTTAATAGAACTTTAGCCTACTTCTTTTATATGCTTACAGCACCACTTGGTTTGCTGTTGTCAAGCTAGACTATAGACTCAGAAGATCTTTATTCCTTCACTGGATTTAGATCCACAAGCTAACAGAGAAAAAGTTGATCAGATGGATTGACAGATGAGCATCGCTCCTCTCTTGACCTTGCCCGTGACTGGAAAATGGACGGATGGATGAATGAGTGAGAGGTAGTTAGATTGATGTCTGTCTAGTTCCCCTGGTCTTTTTGTCTAACCATCTGATCATTCCTCAACGTCTGACTCTGTCTCTCCCACGCAACATGTGTTGTCATGGTAACAGCCAAAATCATAGAAACAGGAACAAGTTGATTCCTTTTCTTATACCACATGCATGCATCTTTAGGCAGTTTAGACCCTCTGCCAAAACATGAACCAAACAAATTGTTATGAGATGCAGAGCCAAACTGAGAATACATTAAAATCATAACAGTGTCAACTGACTAATCCATAGCCCAGCACTAACACACCAGTAATACAGAGCACCCCATCCGCACATGTTCATCCAGAGGCTTACGGAGTGCTCAATGTGCAGCAAGAGCACATGCACATGTTTCCTTCATCTGCTTAGAGCAATACAACCATCTATGGGCACTCTGCAATTAATGGAGGTATCAAATGAATTATAGGCCCCAGAATATTTTAATGAAATATTTGCCTATGCAAGAGAATAGGGGAGTCTGGTAAGTCTAAAAAGAAACTAATGAAAGCAAGTGCACTGCTTTTTAAAACAAATTTCTGAAAGTGAATACTAGTGTGAATGACAATAGTACTGCCAAAAGTCATCTCCAGTGGAGTCCGACCTATCATTTAAACCTGGAAATTAGCACAAAGTTTTTAAAGGATTTTGAAAAATCTAAATCAAAAAACAAACATGATGTAAAATTGAATATTTAAGATTAATTACATTAAAGGTATTTATTGCATTGATACTAACAAGAGATATCAAATTTTCGTCTGCTCACAGACAGCTAAAAAACAATGTAGGAAGAAGAAAAAATTTATATATATTTAATTTAATATGTCACTAATCAAATAAAAACATTTGAGAATGTTATTTATTTATTTATTTATTGCACGAGACAAACCTTGCATATTTTACAATATGGAAAAGGCAAGCAGATTGTTGCCAATGTGTAAAAAGCTATATTTATATGAGCTAAATTTTCCTTTATTTAATAAACAGTTTCAGTTTGGACTCTTATAATGATAAAGCAACAAAACAAAATATAACCAAACTATCTTACTTACTACTGCCAAAGGTCATTTTTGATTAACCTAATCCTTTAAAGGGGTCATATGATGTTGCTAAAAAGAACATTATTTTGTGTATTTGGTGTAATAAAATGTGTTTATGCGGCTTAAGGTACTGTACATTATTGTTTCTCCTCTATGCCCCGCCTTTCTGAAACGCATCAATTTTTACGAAGCTCATCGGTCTGAAAAGTAAGGTGTGCTAAGATTGGCCAGCTATACAGTGCGTTTGGCCGAATACCTCAAGCATGTGACGGAAATGTTACGCCCCTCACCATACTGTGTATAAAAAACGTACTTACAGACTGTGAGTCAGAACAGACAGCATTGTAGTCTACTCTCCCAGGATCAGGAAACAGTCCTCCATAAAATGTGCTGCACACAAATGAATATTTGGGTTGAAGTGTTCTGGAACAGTGTTGTAAATACAACTTAACCACTGATTTCTAGTCGTGTCCTCTTTTGGAAGGCCAAACAAAGTAGTTTCGCTTTCACAACGAAACATAGCGTCACACACGGCGGCGGCCTAGAGTGAGCAGAGGCTGGAAGAAAAGCTTGAAGGAGCAGCCAGCGGGCTTGCTGCAACCACATGTGACGACCCTGGGCTGGACTCCGCTTCGTCCACAGTGAAAGCCGATCCAGTGATCCACAGCGCAAAGTTGATGTATTTCCTCAGCGACCAGCACGGATCAGCTCTAGGCATGACGAAGCGGATATCGTCCTCTTTTGGAAGACCAAACAAAGTAGTTTTGCTTTCACAACAAAACACAGCATTTCACGACATGGCGGCAGCAACAATACTACAGCGAGGATAAAAGTTACGCCTTCTTTCTTTGCGTGAACATTTGGGCGGCATTATGCAAATCTTCCCACATAGTGATGTAGACATGTGGGGGCGTGTTAGAACGAGCCGTTTTAGGTAGGCATGGTTGACTCTTAACTTTTATAAAGAATATCTCTTTGGATTTGAGACTTTAGTTTTTGCAATTTTACAGATCTTCTTTATGCACCAAGAGCTTGTAACACTTCAAAGAGAAAGGAAAAATTTAAATCGCATCAAATGACCCCTTTAACTGTTTTGTCTTGTAAAGAGAACATTTATCAAATGTGCAGTTACTAGATCCTCCCTAACATTTACTTGGGATCTGTTTTCCAACAGTTGAAGAGATAACATTCATAATATAAAAAAGTTATCCACATGCAAACAGCTTTATCAGTTTAACCACATATCTTAAATGTTAAATTAATTCTAGAGAATTCTAGAGGGAATGATTATCATATGGATTATGATCATCAGCTGAATGTTTAGTCTAATTATGGCTGAAGCATCTTTGAACGTAGAACTATTATAATGAAGTAGGGCTGTCAAAAAAAATCGAATTTCGAAAATTCGTCGAATTTAAAATAAAAATGTTGCATTCGAATTTTAGGTGTGCGTTTAAGAGGCAGCCTCATCAGTGGCGCACGAGATGCGATGACGATGTAAGTGTCGCTGCATTATAATGTTTTTGTTAGCCTATCCAGTTGAAGCCACTAGATGCGGCGCTGCTGCGTTGTTCATTAAAAACATTGCGGGGAAAGAGAACATCAATGCGGAGAAGATCTTGTTCACACAGAACACATATTTCACGCATTTTCTAGACGGACATCTATTACTGTTGCACTCGCGTCTCGCACAGTCGCATGCAAAATTAATCCAAGTTTAACTTTGAAAAAAACATATCTCGAGACTTTATGTCGGGTTTTTTCCCCATCCCACTGCATCTCATGTTCTTAAATGAAAAATGTACTCTGTGTGATTGGCTTTCGGCCCTTTCTATTAAACTATGCATACATACATGATGCTGTTTTGTTTATAGTTGTTTAAGCAACTTAATTATAATTGGTTTATAAACATTATTTTAAACATTATGCACTTTTTTTCGCAGATACATTCATGTTATCTTATGCTTTGAATGATCCGCCCTCCTGTGGCCTCAGGAGGGAAGCCAAAAGCTTTTCTTCACCCTAACTGAAATTATGCATTTTAAATTCGAATATAATTCGTTACAATTCGTTATTAAGTACAAAGTACATTCGAATTTAGTTTTCAGCCATTTTGACAGCCCTACAATGAAGTGATAACCTATACAAAAGAAGAGCAGAGTATGTAGGCCTATTTGTTTATTACCACCATGTACAGTATGATCTAAAATGTGTACCTTGACTACATTTAGATTCTCATATTTAAACTCTATGATGGATGCATATATTTTTATGTACTATTTATCTTTCAATATAGTCTACTCCAGTTAACTGATAACTATGGAACAGGAACAGAACTGTGATGTAGAAAATATCAGTGCATTTAAATAGCTAAATGTCCAATTTAAATGACCAGTTCTGATTGACAGAATGAGTCAGTGGAACTGATGAGATTTTCTGGCTATTGAGTGGAGGAAGATGTCTGGTGTGGGAATGAATCCTCATGCTTACAGTAATATCACTCTCACTCCAGGCAATCTGGCCACTGTCCTGGAAAAAAACAGTGAATAAATATTAAATAATATCAAATCGGCTGTTACAGCTCTACTTGCTGCAAAAATTAAATAACACCCAGAAAAAAAGTCTATCAGATAGCCTATTTGACCAGCCTTAACATTCTATCGGTGAAGACGTGCCAAAATTTCATGGCATATTGGAGTTTGTTCAAAGTCCTTTATACCGTTTCTGGTTTGTTGTGCTGCAAATAAAACCAATATTTATACAGTAAAATAAGCAAGACAGATTTGCGTCAACGTTACTGTCAATCGGTTAACTATCCTCGTAGATCAGTCAATCATCTCAAGCGTATGTACAGATCATTAACACACACCTTAGGCAATATACACCACATGCATTATGTTACAGATATAAAAAGTGTATTATTGTCTTTCAAGCTGTAGTACATTTTAAGTGGTTTCGATAAGCTACTCTACAGCCGTACCAGCCTTTTCCGTTTGTTGACGATTAGCGCCATCAGGTGGAGAATTGGATTACATGCAAATCACACAATTAAAACCTCGTTTCTTTATTTACTTCTTTTGTACTGAATTAATTCCCACGATTTCTAATGTTACGAGAATCCAGGCTGTGTGTGCAAACTTTTTGGATGTCTTCATTAGTTTTGTAAACGCAAACACACCTCCTCCAGGGTCAAATATTCTAGAGTGACAGAAGGATTGTTTACTGTTTATTTGAGCCAAGGGCCTCTTGGTGGATGAAGAATATTGCATATTAAGCCTCGTCTAAAATAACGTGTATAGTACCATATTAATACACCACTGTTTAAAAGTTTGGGGTCAGTTTTTTTAATTCCTTGAAAGTACTTTCATTAAGGCTGCTTTAAATTGGTCAGACCTTTCTATTTTTTATTTTTTTTTACAAAAGATGTACCTTTCAAATAAATGCTGTTCTTTTAAACTTGACATTTTCACAAAAATGTTGAACATTGTTAATAAGAAATGTTTCTTGAGCAGCATATTAGAATGATTTCTGAAGAATCATGTGACACTGGAGGATTCAAATTCGTTTCCCAAACAACAATTTAGATAAATATCACTTCTATGAACTTATATACCAAAGTAATGGCTGCTAAAACTTCAGTAGTCTTGGTGAGCATAAGAGGCTTCTTTCAAAAACATTTAAAACTCATCCAGACTCCAAACTTTTAAAGGGTATTGTCAGAATAATGAACAACCTGGCTGTGGGCGTTTGGCAAGGACATTACACTTGCAAGGCAGGCTCATAGGCCACATAACAACCTTTACTTTGAAACTGCAGATATGCATGTCCTGAACCCACTGAACTCTTGACATTTAAAGTTTCAGAATTGCCATGTCATGATAGAGGCTTATGATAGACTGACCTACTTACAGTTTGCCAAATCAGAGACTGTGATCTGACACCATGATGATTTGACCCCTGACCCTGAGCCAACTGCTCTGTTGTCAGCATTCCAAACACACATGAAGTTCAGTTATTCTTATCTTACAAATAAATGTGCATTCCTAGAATGAAATGCAGCTTCTGGACAAAAGTCACTTCAACAAAAAAAAAGTCAGCTTCTTCATCAAAAGTCACCTTGATCTGTTTAGGTCTGCTAGACTGGATTGCTCATTTTAAAAACTTAGAAACCTTTATTCTGCATGCATTCATTTCAACAAAATACAAAAATTGGACAATACTTACTTGGTTACATTTTTATTAAAACATTTGAAATACAAAAGGCAAGAGTATGTGTAGAAGTCATGCCCATGCACCAGCACATAGTAATATTGTTAAATATACTAAACATTTCAAACTTAACAAGCTGCAGCATACATTTACTTCCAAGTATAAAGCAGTCTGTATTTACACTTCAGCAAGCCTATAACTTTATTACAGTATTACATTAATAACACTGTTTGCTGATTAACTATCATTCGAAACATTTCATGTGGTAATCAGCTGTTTTTGTGCAAGAGCGGAGAACATAATGAAAACAGGCAAGAAAGAACAATCCCAGAGTTATGGCTTTAAACTTGTTCAATAACCCTGGGACCAAAAAAAATGACATTGAACTCAAATTCTAATTTCTATCTTGTGGCCGGTAATCACTTGAAAGATGTTGTGACACCTGGAAAAATACTTTGAAACCAAATGAATTACTTTGGAAACACAATCAAAAAATCCTTCAGGTTCACATTTCCCCATTGTAGTGTAATCATATAGGTATGTTTGCATCTTATAAGAAGTGTAAGTATATCTGGTTTGTTGTGTCATTAACCTCGGTTTCCTTAAATACCTCTCCTTCACCTTTCAGAGAAATTCAGCCCACATCCACACATCAGAAAACCAAACAGGAATTTCAGCAATCGCCAGCAGCATTATAAATAAAAGTTCATTGTCAGAGGTAAGAATAATATTTAAGAAACTTTTGTGTGCAGTAACAGTTATGTCTTTAATTACATTTTACACGTTAAAAGTGTCAATTAAGGAACAATATGGAACTTCTGCCTTGCTGCAAAAAACAAATCAAATGCTCAACTTCTGATTCCACGTACAGGTAGAAAAATAACGCAGACCTCTTTATCAGGACTTTTACAGTAATGAGAAGATAATTTGGTTGTGCAAACCATGTTTTGATGACACTTGAACTCCAAGACATGCTTCATGAAAAACTGTATCTAAGGCATGCTGTACAAAAAGAAGAACTTATCAGTCAAATAAAGATAGAATACAAATGGTACTAAAATAAAATAGTTTGGAAGAAAATACATTCTGAAAAACACACCACTACTGCTTTCATGTCCCTGGATAATTAGTGACATTAGCAACTCATTTGGTTCATTAGAACCTAAATAAAACATTAAAGGCATAGTTAACGTTAAAATGTACTCATCTTTATGTCATTCTGAAACCTGCAGGACACAAAAAGGCATTATGAGTAACAGTTTGTGTCCATGTAATGAAAGCCAGTGGGGTCCAAAATAAGACTGGGCCCCACTGACTTTTAGTCACCGGGACATTTTTCAAATATCTTGTTTTTGAACGGTCATACAGGCTTTGAATTACATGAAGGTGAGGCAGAATTAAACATTTTGAGTGTACTGTCCCTTTAAGATAACGTCTCATTTGACATATCCCAGTTACAGAGCACTCCAATTTAAAAGTACATATCTGGACCTATTTTGCTTTCTATCCTCATTCTTTCTCACTCAACATTTAAAAATGACCTTTGCTTTACTTTCCTTTTTCATTCATTCAAAAATTAAAAGCAAAGTTTGGCACAACACAAGCACTATATAAACTCTCTCCCAAGTGCAAAATCTGCTAAACCTACATTAGTATATTTCCAGTCTTGATTTATGGTTTTGTGTTGCATTTTGACGGTTTAATTGTGATAGTAGGTCTGCGGTGAGCTTAGCATAATTCTTTCTGTTTGGCTTAATTCCACATATAACATTGAGAATCAACACTGCTCAGATTCCTTTCAAAGGCAGATGCCATGTGAAAATAAAAATGAACATAAAAATACACTCAAGAGTAATACTTTCCACTGTTATAGATAGGTAACATTTCGCTGTGCTGATATTACTGATAATGCAGTGTGATGAGATTGTGCGTAAGATTAGAATTGATGATGTATGTAACAGCATGTGAAAGAAAGAGTTACATACTCTTCTACTGTCCGCTAATGACGTGTGGGTTAAACTGCACTATAATGATTGTGATATCATCCCTATACATGCGGGCTAATTCCTCTGGCAAGCTTAACATCTTTGACAACCTCTCATGGTCCACCATTCCAAACTCATTATTCCCCACTGCGTGCCGAATCAGGTGCGTAGCCGCATTCTGGTCTCCGAAGGTGGAGGAGATGCGAGCTTTCCTCTCCTGCAACAATCCCTGCATCTGACCCAGGGTCACCTTATAGCCGCCAACACTGACTGGCTGCTGCTGGTGCACTCCAGTGAGATGTTCACCCACAATCCTCACCACCTCCTGCCTGTGTAGCGTTTCCCACAGCCCATCCGAACCCAGCACCAGGAAACGATCCTGTGGACGAAGGTGGTGTCGCGTCACCTCCGGTTCCGCCGTAAGGTAGGGTGGTGTGTGGTAGTTGGGTGGGATGAACTTGGCGTGCTCATTCTCATGGAGCTGGTCCGGTCCGGACTCAAGAACACGGCGCTGTAGTTCAATGCTCCACTTGAATTTAACATCTCCAAAGGCACGAAATGGCATGAGTAACCCCAACAGTCGATCCTGCTTCACCACACTCTTGGCCTCAGAAAGCGGGTGCTCAGACCGCACACGCTTCATCTCAGATTCATTCTGCGCACTGTGGTCGTTGGTGAGTGTGAGGGCAGAAAAAGAGCCATCAGGTTCTTGTACGCCCAGGACTGCACGGCAATCTCCAGTGTTGGCAATATGCAGCTCATTACCATCAATGTGTGCAACACATGCAGTAGCGCCTGAGAATGCAACACGGAGCACCCAGTAGTGCAAGAACGCATTCGGGTCGCCAACCTGCGCTTCAAGGGAAATGTCATTGTCCAACCTTTTAAAGGCACTCACAAGAGCTTCAGCAACATCCGGTTGCTCCCCAGGAACGCTCAGATCCAGCAGTTCCTGCCAGTACGTGCGCAAACTGGAGAAGTAGAGCCGTGAAGCTTCCTTGCTGAAGTAGTCGTTGGGATGCTTGTGCCACTGCAATATCGGGTGAAGAGGTCTTCCGCTCTCCACCGCATTCTCCAGCTCCATCAACGTCTCATGTGGCAGTAATGAGACGGCAATGTAATAGAAGAGGCGCTCGGTGAGTGCCTGAGCACATGCGCAGCCTGCATGGCCATCAAATACGCCATAAAGCATGCCACGGGTCTGCAAGCACGTTGCTGCACTTCGGCGATCCTCAATGGGTGCATTTGCCGGTAGCTGGTTGCTGTCAAAGCCCATGATCGAACTGAGGTTTTTGCCATCAAACTCAGGAACTTTGAAGCTGTACTCGTTAGCTTTTAGAATGCTGTTAACCTGAGGTGGGGTCAAGTAGTAGGTGTGCCATGCAGGTGAGGTCCTGTATCCCCGCACCTGGTGCCGCCATCTTTGTTCAAAGCTGTGTGGCTGAGTTGCACTGATGCATGGATGAGGAGACCGGCTGCAGTTTTGGCATGTTATGGCTGGCACCAGTATCCGACCAAATCTCCTGCCACGGATGACCCTGAACACCTGGGAGGTAGCAGCCATGATATACCCTTAAAGGACCTGCAGGAAAATCATAGTTCAATTAGAAAGATTAAACAAAACTAATTTTTCACAGTTGTCTAGATTTCAAACAGAGCTGAGCTATACAAGTAAATCAGTAGTCAGGTTTACAATTTTGACACCTTGATTATCAAGATCTTGATGTAGAAGTAACTTCAAATGACTGTAGGTTATACATTTTAAATCATCAGAAGATTACTACAAGGATTAGGTCAAGGCATGGAAAAGCCATTCCATTCAGGATGGGAGAGTGTCCCAAGGCTATTTATAGTCCCATGCTGCCACATTCTTGGCATTGGACACATTGAGTGTCCCACTGGCCTATTACTGTCCCCTGTAACGTTTACCCATTACATAAAGCAAAACTAATGCAACCCAAATGTACACTGCAATTATTCCCTGCCCTTCAGGTCTGTCTCATTTTTAAAGGAATTTCTGTCAGTGATTATCTTTGCCCAACCCAAATTGTCTTTTGGCATCTGTCGCCATCTTATAGAGGTCTAAACATAACACTAAAGTTGTTGTTCTTATTTTCTTGTGATAAGTAAATATAATTTATTATATTTTAGTATAAAATATATTATATTGATCAGCAATTACTGTTTATTACTTATTTAGGTGAACAATTACTACTACTTTTAAATCTTACGTTTGTTGTTATTGAAACGTTCGAAACCGCCATTTGAAATGTGTAGGCTATTGTGGAATAGGCTACATTTAAAAATATTTTAATTATCATAAATATAATAATTATAATAAATAAAAAATATTAACTTTTTTACGTTTTGTTTTGACTTGAGGTCCTCAAATAAGGGGGCCAGCCCCCACAAAAAATTAACACCCTTTTGCAAACAGTCCTCGCATATTTAGATTTCCGACAGAATGGATACAGCGGGTTAAAGAGGTGTACTAAAAACAGCTCACGGCTTCACGCGCTGTCATTACATGCAGTTCAAAGCATGGAGCTACCAGGCGGGTTATTGAACCATGCCAAATAACCACTATATCAGTTGTAAGAACGATTTTAAATGATAATTTCACAATAAAACGACAGTTGCAAAAAAGGGAAAAGGCTCAGTTGAGCACTACGCCCCGTTCACATCATCCAGCATACATACTCGCTACTAAATTGCCATATTGTTTACATTTGGGCTTGGCAACTTAATTTAGTAGATATCATCGCAGAGAAACGCAATCGGATAAATGTCCCTGTATTTCAAGAGGAAAAAAAGTGATTCAGTTAGCACACACTCCAAACTGCGTGACTGTACCGTGGACAAATATCAAACGCTAATGCATCTAAAATACGCTGTATCATTGCACACTATCGCCGCACGAACTGCATGCGCAACTCATTACAGCCAAACAAAAGATAAATATTCTTACCTGAGGATATTAGTGGGTAACTGAGTTTGTGGTCGATGTTTGATCAGGCTGCATTAGTTCATATACATTCACCCCGCCCGGATCCTCGGATCCTCGGATCCTGCGAGCCTAGTTCGCCTCCACTCCCACCGGACAAGATGATTGGTTCACTTACGTCATCAGAGGTGTAGCTCCGCTTAACCTTTCCTTTTCCGGTAGTTGCCAAAATAATAAATAAATAAATACATGCATACGTATATAAATATACAAGATATATATTAAAACATACAAACAAACAAATAAATGCCTAAATAAATCTACAAAGAAATGCATAAATAAATCTATGTTTTAAAAAAAAACATAGAAAAATCTTTTTTTAATAATCTGTATTTTATTCCAGATATTTTATCTTCAAAAAAAAGAGAAAAGAAATAACCATAAAAAATAAATGTGGAAAAATTACAGTTATACAAAAATAAATAAATATTAGTAGAAATACTCATTTTTTATTTATTTATTTATAGTATTTCTTTGTATATTTATTTATGCATCTATTTATTATTTTGGCAAATTTGGCATTCCATACAGCAGCAACTAACACACAAAAAGTACATAATTTTTGGGATTCATGTGAATATGTGTATGTTATACACATGGAAATTCTAACCACTAAAATGCTTTTTTTTAATTTCAGTGTGTGACATGCTTGCATTGCACACTTGATATTACCTCTCAAAGTATTTAATTATCCTTCAGGAGATGCTTACATGCACAAATAAAAAAAGAGTGTTTGTAAGAGTCTAATGACAGTTAAAGCTTATCTGCCCTCAAAAGCTCAAAATTCGAGCACTCCACCCTTTACAAATCCCACCAGTAAGTGTGACAGACAAAATCGAAAAAGCATCAAATCTACACAAAAAAAAAGGTTTTGAAAAGGAATAAAGGAAGATTATTTTTATTTATTAGAATATTCAGAATGGCTTCTGTGAAAACAGTATCTGTGGAAGATTCCTGTTCTTCTGTCATGTAGTCAAAGTATCTGTAAAGAGTGTCTTCAGCAGTTCTGGAAAACCAAGAAAGTCCAGCAGTGTCCTGTCTGCAGGAGAAGATCCTCAAGACATGAACCTCCGTGTAATCTGGCGTTAAAGAACTTATGTGAGTCATTGACAGCAGAAAGTGCTTCGAGGTCTGAGGAGGTCTGCAGTCTCCACAATGAGAAACTCAAACTCTTCTGCTTGAATGATAAACAACCTGTGTGTGTTGTGTGCAGAGATTCAGAAAAACATGTCAATCACAAATTCCGCCCTATTACAGTTTTTCTCGATTGCTAAAACACTATAACCAGGCTTTTGAACTAAAATTTCAAAACAATAACGCCATTTTTAAAAAAGCACACCCATTTTGCTGAACTATAAACACTATTCCCCTGCTTTAACACATGAGTCAGATTTGGTGAACTGTTACTGCAAAACTCTACACACAAATCCCTACATTTCTCAGTGCTTACACCATGTGGTCATTTAGAAAGCACTAGCATTCAATACTGTTCACTCAAGTCAGCACAGCTTGAGCTCAATTTGCAAACAATTACCCAGGTGGAAACACTAAGAGTCAAAATTGAACACACATCAATCAGATCCTTCCATAAATAGATAAAAGGGCCAGAATCAGTTCACTGAGCTTTGAAATAATGGATTCACAGAGAAATTAAGGAATAGGAAGAAGAAGAAGAAGAAGAAGAAGAAGAAGAAGAAGAAGAAGAAGAAGAAGAAGAAGGGCGGCGGCGGCGGCGGCAAGGAGACAAGCAGTCTTAGATGACATTTGAGCCACTTTAGTTGACCATGTCCTTGTCCATGGTATGACTATGAGGGAGGCTGGGCAATGAGTACAGCCAAATTTGAGTCGCTTCACCGTCGCCTTCATCAGAACCTTCAGGGAGGAAAACTGGTAAGTGTACTTGCAGTAAGACTGCTCTTTACAGTAACTTTAGAGTGCATACACTGTTGCACTATGCTACTGTAATAAAGAAATGCATCAAATTGCCTCGCATACAGATAGTTTCAGTATGTTTCCATTTTTTCCTGTAAAAAGGATGTTACAGTAATGAGTGCTTCTATTTTTGTAGGACACAGAGATGACCACCTGGTGGAGGCAGGCTAAGACTTTTGTGGGAGGAGCAAGAGAGGGAGCTTGTAAACACGGTCCTTGCCAATGTAATCTGCCTGCGAGAGATTCAAAGGAGAGTGATTGAGGATAATCTTTTTCGAGGGATAAATGCCATCAGCCTCTCCACAATTGATCGTATCCTCCGAAAGCACCGGTTCCGGATGAAATGGGCATACCGCGTCCCTTTCGAACGAAGCTCTGACAGAGTGAAAGACCAACGAGTGGAATACGTTCAGGTATGAGTTTTGATATAGTATGAAGTATTGTGTACCATCACAGTATAGTAGTTTATGCTGCCATTTGTGTCCTCTTGAACTGTGCTTCAGGGTAGTGATTTACTCTACTGTTTCATGTGTTTTGCAGAGAATCTGAGATTGAAGGCCGGCCTGTTCCCCATGAAATTATCTTTGTGGATGAGGCTGGTTTCAACCTGACCGAAAGAAGGGGGAGGAACATAATTGGCCATCGGGCTATTGTAAATGTCCCTGGTCAGCGCGGAGGGAATGTCACTATGTGTGTCGCCATCAGCCAACGAGGTGTTCTCCACCGTCATGCCATTCTAGGACCCTATAACACTATGCTTCTCCTTGCTTTCCTTGATGGTCTAAGAGCATATGTTCCAGCTGGACCTCAGGGAACCAGCACAGCCAGAGCAGCCTCGTTACATTGTTGTTTGGGATAATGTCAGCTTCCATCGCGCTGCTCTGGTTCGTGACTGGTTTACCAATAACCCAAGGTTTTCTAACATCTTTCTGCATGCATACTCTCCCTTTCTAAACCTGATAGAGGAGTTTTATTTCAGCATGCCGGTGGAATGTGTATGACCGAGAACCTTATATCCACGCTCACCTCCAGGCCACGGAAGAAGCCTGCCTAGACTTATCAGTAGAGCATGCCAGGTGTGGATCAGGCATGCAAGAGGATTTTACCCTCGCTGCCTGGCTAGGGCCAATATAGCCTGTGATGGGGACGAGATTGTCTGGCCTGACCCAGAACAAAGACTGGATGCTGAGGCAGAATTTTATTTATTTTTATTTTTTATTGCATGAATAATGTGCCAATGTATACATTGGTTGTGTCTTTTGTGTTCATGTTTTGTATGTTGTAGTGTGTGTTTTTGAAAGCTTGTGTGTGTGACGTCTGAGGGAAAGTTTGGTTTTTCAGCAAGAGTGAGTGGGTTGAGTGTAGAGCTTCATTTTGACCTGAAAATAGGATGTTTGGGGAATTGGGTGAGACGTTATGGATTAGTGTTAACTGTTTTGAGAATACGAGGCATAGTTTCAAGAAATGTGTTTAAGCAATCGAGGAAAAACTGTAAAGAAGTAGTTTCATTTTACAAGGAAGGTGTATTAATTTCATATTAGAATAATATCTTTCTATAAACATTAACATGTTTTATAAACAATATATAAGGTGTGTGTGTATATATAGACGGGTCCTTTGTGATACACACACACACACATATATATATATATATATATATACAGTGGGTACGGAAAGTATTCAGACCCCCTTAAATTTTTCACTCTTTGTTAGATTGCAGCCATTTGCTAAAATCATTTAAGTTATTTTTTTTCCTCATTAATGTACACACAGCACCCCATATTGACAGAAAAACACAGAATTGTTGACATTTTTGCAGATTTATTAAAAAAGAAAAACTGAAATATCACATGGTCCTAAGTATTCATATTACTAAATTGCTGTGACACTCATATATTTAACTCAGGTGCTGTCCATTTCTTCTGATCATCCTTGAGATGGTTCTACACCTTCATTTGAGTCCAGCTGTGTTTGATTATACTGATTGGACTTGATTAGGAAAGCCACATCCTGTTAACAGGAATTTTACACATTTCAATGTTGCTTATACTTGGAGAAGCTCAAAACAGCAATGAAGACCTTACAAGAGAAACTTGCATACACAAAAGAAATTAAAGTAGAATGTGATACAATTAATCAGATCAAGTCAGGAGACCATATTAAATATTTAATGATTTGCATCATCATAGACAAAGGTATGTAATATCTTCCTCACATCCACGTCTGACACTGTCTGATGATCTGACCAGTCTGGCATACTCTAACTGGCTTCCTGATGATTCAGATGCATTTGCCTTCATTCCCTGTGTCCTGGGTTCTGAGGGCTTTAACTCAGGAACACACTGCTGGGATGTGGAAGTTGGAAACAATTTCTGATGGAGTCTTGGAATAACAACAGCACCAAAGCCAAAGAAGGAATATCCCTGTTGAAAAAAACAGCATATGCTGGTTAGGTGTTTTGAAGCATGGCTGCTGGTCCTAAGCTGGTCCTGAGCAGGAACTTTAACATATAACATAAGTTTAACATATTTTAATATTCAAACTTTAACCATTCTATAGGAGGAACTCAATACATCACTAGACTAGTCCTTACAAGAGAAACTTAAACGCACAAAACAACTTAAAATAGTGCTATAAAACAGCTCAGCACATCAAGGTGAGTATTTAGAATATTAATTTTCAACACTGTTCAAATTTATGAATCATTTTGTTTGTTTTTATGTTCAGACTCAGGCTGAGCACACAGAGCGGCAGATTAAAAAGGAGTTTAAGAAGCTTCGTCAGTTTCTGCGAGATGATGAAGACGCTTCAATCACTGCACTGAGGAAAGAGGAAGAGCAGAAGAGTCAGATGATGAAGGAGAAGCTTGAGGAGATGAACAGACAGATCTCAGCTCTATCAGACACAATAAAAGACACAGAGGAGAAGATGAACACTATAGTAGCATGTCTTTCTAAATGTGAGAACTGATTTCTTCTTGTGTACAAAACAACTTACCTTATACTTACCAGCAAAGTCAAACTGTCATCCTGTATTGGGAATCTCCTTTAACACAGTTATTTTTTGCAAATATTAAATGTTTGAGGAGATAGTAAATTGTTTTATTTATTTTCCAGAGCTTAAACGTCATCATGGAAAGGTATTGTAAGTGAGCTGTCTTGTCTTTGATTGTAAACTCAAACTCATTGCCGTTCTAACTGGTGGATGTTATTCCAGAGCCCAGAGTTCACAGCAGGATCCACAGATACTTTCAGTAGCTTTGATTAATGTGGCAGATCATCTGAGAAACCTGACCTTCAGAGTCTGGAAGAAGATGCAGGAACTTGTTCAAAACAGTGAGTGAAACATCGCAAACATTGCAAATACACGTCTGATTCTGTCTGATGATCTGACCAGTCTGAGACATAGCAAGACACAACAACTGGTTCCTAATAACCCAGAGAGGTTTTACCCATATGCCTGTGTTCTGGGTTCAGAGGGCTTTAACTCAGGAACACACTTTTGGGATGTGGAGGTTGGAGTCAATTCATACTGGATTATTGCTGTAACCACAGAGTCAATCCAAAGGAAGGGAACAGCTTTCTTTTACACCAATGTCTGGTGCATGTGGTATGAAGATGGTAAATATTTCCCACAAAACCCAGAGAAACCCAACAGCACCTTTCCAGTTAAAGAAAAGCTTCAGAGGGTGAGATTGGAGCTGGACTGGGACAGAGGAAAACTGTCATTCTGTGATCCCGTAACTAACACAACACTACACACACTGACAACAACCTTCACAGAGAGAGTCTTCACAATGTTTTATAGTTTTGATGAATCCACACAAAAATTGTTTTTACACGTTTTATTAATCTTTAAAATGAAACGTTCAATCTGTAACAATTATTTTCTCAGTAAAGTTTCTTATTTTTCCATTTTGCAAACTAACCGAAATGTGGCATGTTTTAGATTCTGCTTGTAAGAATAAGGAACAATGGTGCCGAATCTTCTTTGAAAGATTTAAGCAGCTGCAATCAATTCCAGTGTATTTGTGTCTGACCTTTAGTCTTGAACTCCTAAATGAACTTATTACAGTCAAATGAATCTGATTCTGTTGCATTCGCAAGTCTTTCATTCTGACTGTAATACTGAGTGAATTGTAATGGCATCTCTAGAACCAGGAAGTCTTGCTCTTGCTCTTCACCACATATATCTACACAGCTACTAATTCCTTTTCAGAACAGGGTATATGTAAATAAAAACTCACTTTTCAAACAAACTAAGTCAGTTGGGATACAAGAAAGTGGCCAGACTGTTGTTTGGACTGAGTCTGATCATGTCAGACTAACACGGCATAAAAGAGTGTTGATTGATATTCGTGTTTTCCTATAAGTAAGAATATGCATAAATGTGCAGGGATTCTGTATTACAACTATTAAAAGGCCCCACCAACTACTCAAGCCACTTCCCCAAGAGATTCACTCCCTAAGCTTTGACTTTTTCCTCAAACCATTGATGAATCTGTTAAGACATCTCTGGCTGTCTGCCCACACCTATAGGTGTGTCTTTGTTGTGCTAGCTCAAAGTGAGATCTTTATGTCACTTACATGAGTGACAGCCATCAGGTGAGGCTCCATAGCTCAGTGGTTAGAGCACTGGTCTTGTAAACCAGGGGTCGTGAGTTCAATTCTCGCTGGGGCCTGATTGGAAACCTTTTGAAAAGTGAC